TGCATTTCCTTAATGATTGTTGATGTTGAACCTCTTGCTTACTGGCCATTTGTGTATCTTCTTTGAAGAAATGTCTGATCAAGTCCTTAACCTGTTTTTAAGTTGGGCTTTTTACTTTTTTAAAGATTTTATTAATTTATTTTTAGACAGGGGAAGGGAGGCCGAGAGGGAAGCATCAGTGTGTGGTTGCCTCTTGAGCACCCCCTATTGGGGACCTTGTCTGCAACCCAGGCATGTGCCCTGACCAGAAATTGAACTGGTGACCCCTCGGTTCACAGGCCAGTGCTCAGTCCACTGAGCCACACCAGCCGGGCTTAAGTTGAGTTGTTTGTTATTATCGTTGTTGAGTTACAGCTCTTTACATATTTTAGATATTAATCCCGTGATAGATATGTGGATTTACAAATATTCCCTCCCATTCTGTGGGTTGTCTTTTCACTCTCTTAACAGTGTCCATTAATTTATGAAAATTTTAAGTTTTGCCTGGCTGGTGTAGCTCAGTGGATTGATTGCGCGCAGGCCTGCGAACCAAAGCATCACCAGTTTGATTCCCAGTCAGGGCATATGCCTGGGTTGCGGGCCATATCCCCAGCATGGGGTGTGCCAGAGGCAATCATACATTGATGTTTTACTTCCTCTCTTTCCCATCCCTTACCATCTCTCTAAAAATAAATAAATAAAATCTTTTTTAAAAAGTTTTAAGTTTTGATCAAACCAAATTTTTCCACCTCTGCTTTTGATGTCATATCCAAGAAATCATTGCCAAATCCAGTGCCATCAACATTTTCTCCTCTGTTCTATTCTAAGAATTTTATAATTTTAGCTTATAAGTTTAGGTCTTTGATTCATTTTTAGTTAATTTCGTATCTAGTATAAGGTAAGATAAGAGTCCAGCTTCATTCCTTTGCATGTGGGTATTTTGTTTTCCCCAGCAACATTTATTGAAAAGACTGTTCTTTCCCTATTGAATTATCTTGGCATACTTGTTGAAAATCTGTTGATGGCCATATATGTGAGGGTTCATTTCTGGGTTGTCTGTTCATTCATTTGGTCTGTATATCTGTTATGCCAGTACCACAGTTTTTATTGCTATAGTTTTATAGAGGCAAGCCTGGTTTCATTACACATCACAGACACTGGTTTTACAAATTGAAGGTTTTTGGCAACCCTGAATCGAGCACCGATTTTTCAGCCCCATTTTTCCAACAGTATTTGCTCATTTTTTATCTCTGGGTCATATTTTGGTGATACTTCAAATTTTCTATTATGTTTCTTATGGTGATCTATAATCAGTGATCTTTAATATTACTATTTTAATTGTTGGGGGAGCACCACAAACCATGCTCATATAACCTGGCAAAGGTAATTGATAAATGGTGTGTGTGTGTGTGTTCAGACTACTGCACCGACTGACCATTAATCACCCTATCTCTCTCCCTCTTCTGGGGCCTCCCTGCCTGAGACAACAGTATTGAAATTAGGCCAGTTAAACCCTGCAGTGGAATCTTAAGTGTTCAAGTGAAAGGAAGAGTCGCATCTCTCTCACTTTGAATCGAATGTAAGGTTAAACTTAGAAAGGAAAGCACATCGAAAGCAGAAATAGGACACAAGCTAGGTCTCTTATGCCAATTAATTGAGTTGTGAATGCAAAGGAAAAAGTTCCTGAAGGAAATTAAAAGTGCTACTCGAGTGAACACACAAATGACAAGAAAATGAAACAGCCTTATCGCTGCTGGAGAAAGTTTTCATGGTTTGGATACCAGCCATGACATTACCCTAAGACACCGCCTGATCCATAGTCCTACCGCTGTTCAGTCCCATGAAGGCTGAGTGAGGTGGGGAGGCTGCAAGAGAAAAGTCCGAAGCTAGCAGGAGTTGGTCCACGAGGTTTAATGGAAAAAACTGTCTCCATAACATAAAAGTGCAAGATGAAGAGGCAAGTGCTGATGTATAGAAACTACAACAAATTATCCAGAAGATCTAAGGTAAATAATGAAGGTGGCTACACTAAACAGACTTTCAGTGTAGTCAAAACAGTATTCTTTTGAAAGAAGATGCCTTCAAGGACTTTTGCAGCTGGAGATGAGAAGTCAACACCTGGCATCAAGGGACAGACTAACTCTTGTTAGTGACTTGAAGTAGAAGCCAATGCTCATTTTCAATCTGAAACTCCTAGGGTCCTTAAGAATCTACTCCTTAGAGTAGATTTATAGCTATAAATATCTCGTAGCACTGCTACTATCTTACTGATATATCAACTGACCCTTTAGGAAAGGCCCCTTTTTATTTCTGATAATTTTTGTCTTGATGTGTGTTTTGCCTGATACTAAATTAGCTGCACCAGCCCTGGCTGGTGTGGTTCCGTGGATTGAGCATGCTAATCGAGAGGTAATCTGGTTTGATTCCCAGTCAGGGCACGTGTTGTCTGGGTTGTGGGTCCGATGCCTCGTTGGGGGCACGTGCAAGGCAACTTTCTCATTCTCACACGATGTTTCTCTCCCTCTCTGTCTCCTCCCCTTCCCCTCTCTTTAAAAATAAATAAATATATATTTTTTAAATGAAGAAGAAGCTACTCCAGCCCTGGCCATTGTGTCTCAGTTGGTTGGAACATCATCCTGTACACCAAAAGCTGGGGGTTTGTTTCTAAGTAAAGGCACATGCCTGGGTCATGGGTTGTCATGCCCTGTCCAGGTACGTATGGGGGGCAACCATTTGATGTCTCTCACATCAGCGTTTCTCCCTCTCTTCCTTCCTGTCTTTCTAAAAGCAATGAGAAAAAAATGTCTTAGGCCCTGGCTGCTGTAGTTCAGTGGATTGAGCATGGGCCTGTGAAGCAAAGGGTTGCCTGTTCAATTCCCAGTCAGCAGGGCACATTGCCTGGGTTGCAGGCCAGGTCCCCTATAGGGGACAAATGAGAGGCAGCCAGACACTGATGTTTCTCTCCCACTCTTTCCCCTCCCCTTCCCCTCTCTCTAAAAACAAATAAAATACTTTTTTAAATGTCAAGGTGCAGATAAAAACATTTTTATTGAGGTATAACCAACATTAAACATATTTAAAATTTTTTAAATAGCTATTCCAGCTTTTTTACTACTTATATGGTATATTTTGTTCTATGAACCTCCTTTTTTATTTTAAAAGAATGTCTTTTGTACACAGCATATAGTTGGGTCTTGTTGTTCATTCATCCCTATAGTCTGTCTTAGTTTGTGCTTTTCATTCACTTACATTTAATGTAATTATTAATATATTTGGATTTATGTCTGCCATTTTAGTGTTTGTTTTCTATTTGCCACATTCATTTTTAAATTCCTCTATTGGCTTTTTAAGCTTAACCTCTTTGCATTCAGTTTTCAGTTGATTGCGTTAGGGATTCCACTGTGCATCTTTGACTTACCAGCATATGCTTAAGTTAATGTACTACTTTAAATAAGGTCCACGAAACTTGCCTTGGTACAACTCTGTTGTCCTGCCTTCCCCTAACTCCCTTATCTTCTCTTATTTTCTTGCTTTACCCATAATTCTGCTTATACATATGGATAATTCTCTTTGAATATATTCATTTTGTGAATGGGATATGTCAATGGATCTATTCTAGAATTTGAGTTTTTCCAGTGCTTCTGTGACACTTGTACCTTTTGCGTGTGTATGAGCATATTGTATACATTTCTGTTGGGTGTACCCTAGGAGTAGAATTGATGGATTATCAGGTATGCCTGTGTTTGGCTATACTGACCAGTTTCCAAAGCAATTATACCAGTTTATACAGGAGATTTCCAGCTCCGGATCATGACTTAATGTTGTCTTTTTCACCTCTTGTCATTTTGGTGGGTGTGTAGTGGTATCAGATTTTAATTCAAAACTTTGTCAAAACTCTGCTGACCAAGCAAATGTGAGCTAGATGTGTTCCATAGGGTACCTCCAGATTAGACTGTTGTCTGTGAGGGTAAATGTTTCTTTTCAACTGTGTGTGTAACTATTACAGCTGTCTGATGGACAGCTGGAAGATTAAAATGTATGCTGCAGTATTATTAGTGGAGAGATTTTGAAGCATACTGCATTTGGAGCATTCATCTGCATCCCTCTTGCCCTGTTCAGTGGGGTGAGTTAAAAGAACCATGGTGTTATCGGGACCTGGCAAATGGTAGCCCTGAAGCTGTAGAGGCATGAAGCAAAAAGCCCTTAACCCAGCTATGGGAGGTTCTTTATAACCTGGCCCCATTCACTGCCCCTTCTCACCACAGGACCTGCTGTGACATCAGACTGTTTTCTGAGCTTGATAGTGCTCTAGAGGCCAAAGTGTTCTAAGGCCTTTGCTCAGGCCATTTGTTCTGTGTGAAAAGCTCTCCCTCCCTTACTCCTACTCATCCTCCATGGTTCACCCGGAGTTTCCACTTCCCCTCCCAAAGCTTTCCCCAGTTCCCTCTGCAGGGTTGGATACTTCCTCAGAGGCACCATGTACCTCTCTTACCGCATTGAATTACTGCTGTTTGTTTGTGTCGCCCTTTAAGTTGGTGTCTCTGGAATATGGCCGAGGTGGATACCTAAATTTTCTTCTGGGCACGGCCCCATCTCTGCTCAAAGCCCTGTTCTAGAACATCTTTCCCAGATCACCCACAGCCTCAAAGGCCCAAGGCAAGGTAGATGTGTTTCTTTCCTTGACCAGCTCCCTGATTCACCTGTAGAAGAATGGAACGTGCTGGGACATCACAGAACTCTCAGACGGCAGACTCACCCATTACTTAGCTCAAGTGACAGAGACCCTAATAGGCTCTCTTGCCGAGCCCTCAGGGATGGCCAACTTCAACCTGCTACCTTATGGGTGGGGGGAAGCAAGATGCAGAGAGGTTAAGTGATTTGTTCCAAAAACCTCAGCTAACATGCTGTCACCATTTCTATCTGGCCCCAGAATCCACACACTTCTCACTATAGTAGGAGCTGAATCACAGCGATAGCCTAGGGAGAGAGGGCCCAGAGAACAAACAAAGCCAAAGGAAGGGTTAAAGCCAACCACGCCTTTATTAGTCTCTGCAGCAGGGCCACTGGAGCCCCTATAATACACAGGGGTACTTTAGCAGGCTACTCTAGCTACAGGGCAGGGATATTAGCATTTCTGTGGTAATTGGGACAGGCTGGGGGAGGAGACTCCTGGGACACCTGCAGGGAGGCACATGGCAGGCCTTTGGGGCTGAGACAGAGGTGGATCAGGCCCCAGAACCCAATACTGCCGTCTGCCCCTGAAGGAAGAGATACAACGCCTAAGATGGGGACAGGCGCAGTTACGGGCATATTTCTGGGGAGCAGAAATACATTTCCTGACGAGGCACCGTCCTGTGGTGGAGGTCCCAAACACTCCTCTCCTGCCCCTCCCCCACAGAAGCAAGGGAACCCTTGGTTCAGCTCAGTTGCTGCCCCAGGCACCCTGACATGGGAAGCAGGTGCTTTCTGAGCACTGAAGGAGCAGGTGACCCAGTAAGCAGGTAGTGGGGAGGATGGGGCCAAATGTAGTGTTGTGGGTTTGGGTATGTGTCTGTTAACAAAATAGGCAATATATTCATTATAAAACCTCACTCCCCAAAAGCTCCTATCTGCCTCTTTGCCAAGTTTCTTAACCTGGAGACGCAGAACAATCTGACCCCTGCCCCAACCCCAGCCCAATTAAACGTCCCTATAATTTCTTTGACATGCCATGGTTGTTACAGAGGGCTCTGCACTCTTGCTGCTTCTAGCTTACCTTCCTCTCTCCCTCTCCCTTCATCTCCCCTCGTGCTGTCAAAGGACTGACAACTGCCTCATCAGATGTTTACTCCTGTTTTTCCCAAGCCTGGAGCCACGTGAGGGCAGAACCTGACTCCTGTGTCTCCAGTTCTTGGGGAACCTTGAAGCCACATGAGTTGTTGTGTCCTGATGTGTTTGGGGCAAACATATCCATATGTGTCTATAATGGATTTCTGGAGTGTCTAGCAGTAGATACAAGACTTTTGAGTAAACATTTGTGCCTGGGATGATAACTTCTTTGGATGTTGAGGATGAGGGTGGGGAGTGGGAGGGTATGAGCCAAGCTCTGAATGGCTTACAGAGAGGAGGCAAAAGTTGGGCAGGGCTTGGGGTGGAGAGCGCGGTCAAGGTGGAAAAGAAGTCGGTCGTTTCATGCGCAGGGTCTGCACGCTGAGTCTCGGGGCTCAGAACCAACAGGGCGACCACATGAGTGAGCCGAGAGCTGCACCAGTGGCGGCCCCCGCGAGCATGCCCATGGCCAGTGGGGCGCCGGCACTGTAGCAGGGGTCCTCCCGCACTACCACATGCGTTACGCCGGGGCCTGCGGAGAGAGTAGGAGAGAGCCAGAGAATTTAAAGGACGGAGCAGAGCCATCTTTGCTCTTCTCCTGCTAGACTCCAGCCCAACCCAAAGTAAGGTGCTGGGCCCACTATCCTATTCCCCGGTTGGAGACTGAGGTCTTAACGCGGGAAGTTCGCCCATCCCGAAGGCTTCCAGGACTTGGGTCTGCCATGGGCTAGGGTGGACAGGCGGGGAGACTCAGGGATCTCTAAGAACCTCCAGACCACGCTGGAGTGGGAGGTGGCAGCTGTACCCACATTGGCCACCAGGGGTCACTACCAGCTCAGGAGAAGGAGAACGGGAGAGGTGAGGTCAGCTCTGGAATGGAGAGGGGCTCTCGGTCAAGAGCTATATAGAGTCTTGGAAAGGGGAGGGCCTAGTGGAGAATCCTGCCTGGGAAAATCCATGGTCACTAAAACGGTGAAGCCCTCTGGGGACCGAAGGACCATGGGCGAGGTCTGGCTCTGGGAAACTTACCTGCATAGGGCGGTCCGTAGTAGCTGCGAACATAAGTGGCCTCGTGCGCGTTGGGGGACACCACCTCATAGTAGTCCTGGTACGGGCTGTAGACACGCACCTGGGGAGCCCGGCCGGGTTAGCTGCCTGGAAACTCCCTGGCCTGGGTTTGGTCCCCTGCCCACTACATCCAGCTCATGCTCCTCTGGGCCCAGAGATGCCTCCCCAAGTTTCTAATGGGTCCCCAGGCACCAGCAACCTCCTGAAGAAAAGCCCTTGCCTACCCACGAGGTCCACAGTCCTTGTGGTCTAAAGCTCAGCTACTGTAAACAGCTCTCAGTGATGCCATTTTCCTGCCCTGGCCTCCTACCTAGCCCGCCCCTAACCAAAAATTCTCCAAGGTGAGCAGCAACATGGCCAGGGAGGGTCTGTACATAACAAAAGACACTATAAATTATGAAGACTATTTCGATTCTCAAGCAGGGTTTGAAATTATGATATAAGTTTCACAACTTCAAAATGTTCACTCCAATAGAAATAATAAAACCCTTAAAAAAAATCTCCATGGCTTCAATGTTTTTTGTAGTCTAATGTTTGCTGGCAGCTGTCCAGTGGCTTCATTTAGAGAAACCCAATGCATTTCTCTACTCTCCTAGTCACTGCAAGGGGGACCTGGCCAAGCCCCAGGCCAAGGAAGTAACAGGAGGGAAGGGGGTTGATCTGGGAGAGAAAGGAAGTAACTAAAGTGTTACCGAACATCCACCAATGTGGAGGGTATCCACATTGCTACCCTCTCCACTCCTTACCACAGGCATTAGGATCTCCACATTACCTGGGAGCTGGAGAGGGAGGTGCAAAGAACCTCTCTAGGTGTTCTCTCTAGGAGGAAGGGGTGCACTTGCTGCCCTTTTCCCTCCCCATTAGATTTTTACTGACCCCTCAAAGACTACCTCAAAATCCACCCACTTCAGGAAACCCTCCCTACACTGTGCCTGTTGTTCCTCCCCTTTCCTGCCTGAACCCCAAATATGAGCTACTTGGACGCAATGACTGATTCATTTGTGTCACCCACAGGGTCTAGCGAATAACAGCAATAAATATATGCTGAATTAAGTGGGAGCTCCTAATCCAAGCCCCCCATTTTACCTGCAGGGGAGCAGACCTGGAGAGGGGCAGGATCCCCTTCTCTCCTAGCTCCTTCTTAGCCCCCTTCCACCTTATATCTAACAGCTTTACACATGAATGGTCTGACTCCCCTTTGAAGTCCAGGGGTCTTAAAGTGACTTCACCATCCTGCCATCCCCTCAAACCTGCTCTTCTAAATGCCACCACCATTCACTCATGCCAAGACGTGTTGGCACCCTTGTCTTCACACACTCATCTTCCACATCAGAGCCATCAGGTCTCACGACTTTTCTAACTATGCTCTTCTGTCTACCCTCTTCGCCAGTGCCAAGAGAAGAAGCCATTGGTTTTAGCAACTTGGAAGCTGTGGGTGACCTTGGAACAACACTTCTCAGAGGAGTGATGGGGAACAGTGGCAGACTACGGGGGTAAGGAATGGTTGAGGGCTGAGGGATGGACCCCACATGTCATGACATCTCTTTCCAGAAGTCTGGCCGCACAGGGAGTTCTCACACACACCTGTGACTGCAGATCTCCACGCCGCTTCCCTTTGGTGGCGACGCCTTTTCCACCTTTTCTTATCCAACTACCTAACTTGTCTTTCGGGGTCAACTCAAGTATGACTCTCCCTGACCCTCAGGTTCTGCTGGAGTCCAACCTGGGCACCCACTGCCCTTAGGCTTTCCTCACCATAGCAAAGCACCGGTCCCCCTGCAGTGTCACAGTCTGTGTCCCTGTGGGAGTGTCCCTTTCTCAGCAGACTTAGAAACGCCCCCATCATCGTGGCCACCACCAAAGTGCAGGGCCTGGGTCTAACCAGGCCTCATTGGAATGTGGTAGGTACCTAACATATTGAGTTTATCTCAAGTGACTCAAATACAGGGCCAGACTGGAACTAAGGTCACCCAACTTTAAGTCCAGTTTCAAGTTAGGGACCATGACCAGGATGTAATGCAGGATGTTCAGACAAACAAAGCTCAGTCTCAGGTGACTTCCCTCACTGAGCTCCTTCCACAAGCGTGGGACCATAGGGATTTCTGGTGGGGGTGGCCGGCTCTATGCCCAGGAGGGGCTAGAGAGATCTAAGCATGGATCCCCAACTTTACCGGCAGGGAAGCTGAGGTCCAGAGCACACACACAGCATGTACAGAGCATACACACCCCTGCAGCTGCACAGGGAGCCCATGGCCCTGGCAGGCCCTGAAGAGAATGCAAAACACCACCTCATGTCCCTGCGGGGCACCTGCGTCTACCCTGCAGATCTGGGAGGCTCAGAGGTAAAGTCATGTGGGTCACCTGGCAACAGGGCAGGGGATCCCCAAGAGACCTCAGGAAAAGAACCGAAGACTTGACTCCTAATCTCTCTCACCACAGGCCCAGCCCCTTTTGTGAGTGGGGACAGGGTCATGTGACTCAGGAGGTCACATCCAAATAGATCCCTTCCCTCTGAAAAGGTGTTCTGTCCTTATAACATTTTAAAAGTTTATCGCCTTTCAACTCCTGTTTTTAGGAGTTCCCACTATAAATCAACTTGAGTCATAGTTTGGGCATGGGGTATGATGCCCCATGATACTGGGCTGGAAGTCCCAGACCTGCTCCTGATGAATTAAGTGACCTGGTCCAGTTATGGCCTCTCAGAGCTTCAGTTTTCTTATCTGTAAAGAGGCACAATCTTTCCTCCACCGCCCATGCCTGAGGCACAGGGAGAAGCCAGCAGAGCCATGTCTGAGGGACTGGGTGGTCCTAGTACTTCTGGGCTCAGTGGTTCTTGAACATCAGAATCACCAGGAGAAGTTTTCTAAATCACAGATTTCCAAAGCCAACACTATGACATTAGAGCATCCAGAGGTAGGATCTGAACATTTGCATTTTTTTAAGTCTGTAAGCAATTCTAATGCTCGACCACACCGAGCACCACTGAGCTAGCAAAGGTGCGCACAGTTGACCCTAAGACCGCAGGTTCTCTAAGGCTGAGCACTGGGGCCAGAGAGGGGATTCATCCCCAAATCCGGAAACTGCCTTGCTTTCCAGAAACACTGAGGGGTAGGCAGGCAGGGAGACAGGGAGTAAATTTTAATAAGCAATAGTGATACTAGACGTGTTCCACTTCCTCCTTCCTCCCTTTTTATCCATTCACTTTTTCGCTCATTCAGTGAATATTGCCTGAGGCCTACTCGTCCCTGACCCTCAAGCACCAGGAATAAGGAGGGTGGAGCTAGACTGTCCCCATCACTAAGTTGTCATTGACCTCCTTCTGCAGGCCCAGCACTGAGCCAGGCCTCACAAGGGGCAGAGCCCATCAGACCTGGGCCTTGCCTTGGAGGAAGCTCCAGGTCTCCCGGGAGAACAGAGACAGAAATAAACAGATGTGAAACCAGGCAGAATGCAGACAGCACCAAGGATTAGTGCAGTGGGAGGGCGTGACCCTGCCAGAGTCTGGGTAGTCCTCCCCGAGGTGGTGTGTCAGGTGAATATGGAAACGGATTTTGCAGCTGAGAGAACAGCACATGTAAAGGCTGGGAAGAGGGAACAGGCCTAGAGCAGCTGGGACAGAGGGTACAGCAAAGCAGCTGGAGCACAGTGCGTAAGGGGCCTGTGGCCAGCGAGACTGGCCCAGGCCAGATCCTGAGGGCAGGGTTGTGGCTGGTGTCGCATGGGTGATGGGGAGCTATGGAGTGTTGGTGAGCAGGGAAGGGAAGTGACCAGGCCCAATTTGGGAGGCATATCCTGGCAGCCAGGATGGAGGCCGGGAGGGCTAAGTCAGCACTTACCCAGATTCGCCTTTCAAACTTACAGGGGCTCCACGAGCTGGTCACACACCTGACCTTGGGGAAAAGCCGGCGGCTTCTGGGAGGGACGGTGGCTCCAGCTGGGGCCTGCTCAAGCCATAGAAACCCAAGAAGGGGGAGGGAGGGGGGCAGGTGTCAGCGGCCCTCTACATCTGGAGGGACTCAGAGCTCTTAATAGGCCCTACCAGAGCCAGCTGGGCTGGGGCTGGGGGTGTCTCCTTCCTCCTCAGCCCATGGTGATGGGGCTCAGAGGGGGTGGTGATTTTGCCGAAGTTACTCAGAGAAGGATCAGTAGCATCTCTCCAGAATTAACCCACCTTCACCTGTTTCAGGCTGCTGAGGCTCCCAGTCTCCAGGGAGGACAGAACAGCTCTGATCTGGCCTCCCAGCCACCTGCCCCCTCACTGAGCCCCCAGTCTTGCCCCTGGCTGAGCCCCAGCCCTGTGTTCCCTGAAATAGCTGGGGTCAGGCTTTTCTGGGAGCCTCCACCCAGAGTCGGGCATAAACCTGCAGGATGTGAAGGCACAAAGTGCAGGTCGCCCCTACATAGGTATAAGTCAGAGAGAAGCGCACCGGCTTGACCACTAGGACATGAACACTCAGAGGCAGGCAGTCACCAGTACCCAGAGGCCCAAACTCACCCGCTGGAGCAAGCCCTGGGACAGGAGGGGTGTGTGCGGAGCAGCGGGAGGTGGAGTAGAGGGTCAGAGCGGAGAGATGTGGAGAGCAGAGCGGCAGGAAGGCGGACAGGGAGAGGAGGGACAGGCAGCTTCATAGAGTCACAGAGTGCAGAACGGTCAGCCCTCGCCTCCTTCGATTCTGCCCCTCCTGGGCAGGCCTGACTGGGCCTGCACTGGGGGATTTGGAGCTCTGAGCCAGTTTAGCCCAGCCGGGGTCCGCCCTGCTGACCACTGCCCCAGCCTCCTCACTCTTCGCTTCCTCCAATCCAGGCTCCACCCAGAAGCCTCAGTCTGCTCCCCAAAGTCTGGCCACGGCCTTTCCTGCTTAATGACCTCTACTGTTCCCCAAAACCCTCGGATACAGTTCCGGCCCTTTGGGAGGTAGCTCCTCAGAGGTCATCTTTTCCGTCTCCTTCCTCCCACGCATTACCCTCCAGCCAGGCCAGGCTCCTGGCCCTGACACACACCTGTGCGTACACGCGCACACCGGTCACCTCCCCGCCTCTGCTCGGGCAGTTCCCCTCCAAGTCTCACACTGACCTGGATTCCAACACAGGCTTTTTCACTGACTAAAAACTATGAGACTTTGGGTAAATCACCTCTCCTCTGAACCTCAGGTCCTCTATCTGTAAAATGGGACTAAAAACACCAACCGCTGCTGGAGTTGTTGGAAGATTAAGTGACATAACCGATGACAGGTGCTCATCACCATGCCTGGCCCTCAGGTGGATGCCTGAGGGGGTTTCTAAAAGCATCCCGGTTTTCCCTGCTACTTCCCAACAGACTTTCTAGATGAGTAGGGCTGCAGCGTGCCAGAGACAGAAGGAGCAAGCATGGAATCTGGACACAGGCAGATGGGGTCAAGGCCAGGTTCAGCCACCGTTGAGCCGGGGGCTTTCGGCAGCTCCTCAAGCCCACACCTCCATCGGTCACTGAGCTCTGCTGGCTCTACCTCCTAAACATGGCTTATCCTCATCAGCTTGTTTCCGCCAGCGAGGCCTTCATCCCAGCCTCCAGCCGTTCACCTGGACACTGTCTCAGCATCCACTTTTACCCTCTGTAAAACTACCTATTGGCCAGACTCTCTTTTTAAAAACACAAATCTGAGTCCTGGCTGGGTAGCTTAGTTGGGTAGAATGTCATCCCAATATGCCAAGGTCATGGGTTCGACCTCAGGTCAAATCACATACAGAAGTCAACTAACAAATGCATGGATGGATGGAACAGCAAATCAATTCTCCCGATCCCATTCTGTCTTTCTAAAAACAATTAAAAAAATAAAAAATAAAAATCTGGTCTGAACTGTTCATGCCATCCCTCTGCTTAAAAAATTTCAGTGACCTCCTGGTGCTCCTAAGATAAACCAGCATCCTTCACACAGCTCATCATGCCAGCCCCCTCCCCCCACCCCGCCCACCATGGCCCTCTCACTCACGGAGCTCCAACCCCCCATCCCCAGCCTTCCCTTTGTTCAATTTGCCAAAGACTTAACCCCTCTCAGGGCCTTTGCACATGCGGTAGCCTCTGCCTGGAAAGCTGTTCCATTCACCCCACCCCACCCCTTTTACCAGGTCTATCCTTTTATCCTTCAGGCCTTGTCTGAACTCCCACCTGAATCAGGCCATGACGGGGTCACCCAGTGGACACACTGCATGTCTCTGTCAGAGTAGTTACCACCATAGCAATGGAATAAAAACTGTGTAATTAGTTGCTTTACGTCTGGCTTTCCACTAGGCTGAGTCCAGGAGGGCAGGGCCCACATCTCCTTCATTCAGCTCTGATCCCTGGCCCTTGGCACAAGCCTGGCATGTAGTAGAAAGTCAGCGAATATCTGTGTGTGCATGAATGAAGCTCAGTCTCATCATCTGCAGAGAGGGAACAGTAATCCTAACCTCACAGGACTGTCCTGAGGAACAGCTAGAATCGCACCTGGACCACACCTGGCATGTACAAGCTGCTTGATAAAAGGTAGTTCCTTTCCCCCCAGCTCATATGCCACCCCCCTCCTGGAGGCCTCTCTCTTTCTCCTCCAAGAACCAGTGGGCTGTCTTCTGTCCTTTTCTATTTGGGACTCAGGGCAGCTGAGTCTGCGCAAGTCTATTCATCCACTTATGTGGAAACTGAGAACTCCAGGCAGGTGGAGACCGAGTCTGAGTCACCCATGATTCCATGGCAGGTAGGGGTGGGAAGGAGAGAGGGAGGAAATGGGGACTCACCGGGGTGGAATTCGCCTCCAGCAGCGCCGTCTTCCATGCTCTGCAAAGCAAACCCCGCCAGACCATGAAGGGCTAGATTGGAAGACGGGCCCCTACAGTTTAGATTTAACTCCCTCACCCAGCCTCCAACCCCAGGCTCTTGCAAAGAGGGAAGTCTTTTGAGCATAAAAAGGTGACCCCTTCCCTGGCCCAGTCACATGGATGGAGCCCTCAGTTGACCTGGAACCACGTAATTCATGTAGTTCATAGTTTTTACCCTCCAGGGAGGTCCTGTTTCCCCACCTAGACAATAGGCAGCTGGGCCTGGGGAGTCCCTTTGGCCTTCAGATTTGGACAGGCCTGGGCTGGTTCTCTAGCTGCAGTGCCCCCCCACCATGACACACACACCCCATCCAAAACCTACAAACAGTTCCCCAACACTCTGACCCCAGAGCCCTGGAAAGGCCCAGCAGACGCTGGACAATTGGGCTTTTGTTGGTTGCCATGGCACCTGTCTGGGGTGGACAAGGCGGCTCTGTGCTTTGTCTACCAGAGCTCAGCTTCCCCCCACTCCCACACACACCATCTCAATCCCTCTCCACAACGCCAAGGCCAACTGACCCTCTCTGCCCGAGGGTAGGAAGGGAAAGAATGTGAGTGAGCAGCTGGCCCCTGAGAAAGACACACCGGCCCCTCGTGTGGATCTGAGCACCCCCGTGACCAGGCGGGCTGCCTCGGTGAGGCATGTCAGGGTCTACCCCTCACTCAGCTCAGCTCCCCACCAGGATGTCTTCTCAGAAGAGGGTCCTTTGAGGATGCCCCAGGGCTCTCTGTTCCTCTATATCACCCCTAAGTGGGGGCTCCCCTCAGAGGCTGCTAAATACTTGACTGACTGACTGACTGACTGACTGGGGGCCACGCCCGAGGCCATGTGCACGCTCCTCCCGGCGAGCGTGGTGCAGACCACGGGTGGGGGGGGTTACTGCGTACCTCACTGACCACCCTGAGCCATCGACTCCACTCTCAGCCTCTACCAACCTGACGGGTCTCTCTGGCCCTTTCTTAACCCCAGGGAAGCAAAGACCCAATGAGGAGGAGGCTTCTGATCGTATTTCCCGAGATACCATCCCATCCGCTCCTAGGAGCGACTCACATGGCGTCATCCTGGGTGTCCGCACACAGGTGCAGGCGGGAGCCCTCCCGAAAACTCACAGTGAGCAGGCCATCTCGGCTCCGGCCCTCCGGGGGCTGCACATCTAAAGGCAGACACACAGGGTTTCCATGGGGCACAGGCCCAGAGCCCCCCAGTAAACTCGGAATAAGAACGGGAACCGACTGCTCTGGGTTCTGTTTACTGGCCATTGCTGACCTCCTCTGATCCCACACGCTTTCTTCAGGATCCTGTTCTAGAGCCTTCCAACCCTTCCACATTGCCTGCTCTCTAGTTGGTGATGTCCAGCTCTCAGTAATCCTGTTGTAACTGTGGCCTGAGTCTTGTTGAGAAGATCTGCAGTGTGACTCCAGGCCAGTCACTTAACTTCTCTGAGCCTCCTTTATTTCCCTTCGTCTTCACCCAGTTCCTAGCACCTAGACGACAGGAACTGAGACTTACCTCTGAGAGCCCAGCATAGGCTGGGCCCAGCACAGGCTGGGAACTCACTAGGGATCTAATTTCTTACTTTATACCCATGAATTGGAGTTGATAGAGGCCTAGAAGCAATGTCTGTAGAAGCTCTCTGAAAGCTGCAAAGAGCCTCCCAGGGCAGGTGTTCTGGGACAGACGTGTGGGAAGTCAGGCCCACAGCCACAGTGCCGGGGGAAGGGGCTTCGCACCGTGGCACTCTTGGCCGATCTTTATATTGCGAACATTGAAGCGGATGAGCACACGGTCCTCCTCGTCCTGCGCATTCTCGTCGTGGTAGTAGCCCAGGGTCCCATCCATCCACAGGGCAAACCAGTTTCGTTTCCAGCGACGAAGGAAAGAGCCTGTGAGACATTTCAGACCCGCCAGGCAGACTGATCGGAGAGCCTACTGGGTGGGGAGGGGGCTCCTCCCAGAGTCCCCCCCCAACCCGCACCCCCGTCCCCCAGTGTAGGAACCACCTCTTCTTGTCTGTCCCCTGAAATGACAGCAGGTGCTCTTTCTGTCTTGCTCACCCATTGCCTCCCATCTGGCCTAACACATAGCAGGGGCTCCATAAATGTTGTGAAGGGTAAATGAATGACCGATTCCTCCCCGGAGGGCTTCCTAGGCCAAGCCCCAGGTCTCTTCAAGGGAAAAGACGTCTCCCTACCCTGAGCCTCCATCTTAGCTCTTATTTCTGACTTGTGTGACTGTTACATTTATGTAGTGTCTGCCTCTTCCACCAGATGGGGGGTCCACAGCAGGACCTAGGCTCCGTGTTTCCTGGACTGAATGAACTGAGCATAGGTCATGGGGGTTTGGGGGCTTCTGGCCCAGGAGACCTCTGGGTAAGATCATGACTCCGGTCAGAGCGAGGGTCTGGAGGCCCAGCCCTGGCTTCAGATATTTTGTGACTAGAAATCTTGACAGGGCAAAGACATGCGAGAGCTTCTTAGAGCCTTATGGATTCCAAAGCACAGAGGCATTTTTCATTCTGTTCTGAGCCTTGCTGTACGGCCAGCCCTGGGCTGGGGTGGTGTGGACCCAGAGGACCAAAGCCAGCGTCAGCCCTTGAAGAGCTCCAGTCCGGGGCCTGCGTGCGGGTAGGGGGTGAGACCCACAGCAAAGGCAGTTGTAGGGAGGTCGATGGTGTAACAGGAGAGTGGGTGAGGCATGGGGATCAGAGAAGTGAGCCCCCAACCCAGGGGGGTGTTCCGGCAGGTGCTGGGGTGGGGGTTGGAGGAACAGTTAGAGGAGGCTCCTGTCACAGGGGACATCTGAGCTGGGTCTTGAAGAAAAGTGGAAGTTCACTGAGCAGTCGGGGCTAGGGGGATAGGAAGGACGTCCCAGGCACCGGGAGAGGTGTGGACAAAGGAGGGGAGGATAAAAAGGGCCTGGTTTCTGGGGAGAAGGGTTTGCTGAGGCAGGCCCCCAAGCCACTTCCCTCCCTCCTTCCCTGGGTGAGGTACAGGTCAGACACGGGCTTGGCCCAGGGCCACTCACTCTGTCTCCACAGCCAGCCACCCCTCACCAGGGCCATTTCTTCAAAAGGAGTTTCCAGGATGGAGTCAGGCGGGACCTGTCAGAGAAGCCACAGGACACACAGGCCTCATGGGAGGTCCCAGAGCAGCTCTGGGGAGAGAAGCCCCCAGCCCGTCCTGTCCTCCCCATGGGAGCCACAGAGGAAAGCTTAAGGGAGTATAATATAAGTAAACAAACAAGGCAAGCCTGCCACCTCCTCCCCACTCTCCTGGCAGATAATGGCAACACTGTCCTGTGGGGTCGGCAGGGCAGCCACCACTGTGCTGCCGTGGGGGTGAGGTCAGGAGCCTAGATTCCCATCTCAGTCACATAACCCAGGCCACGTCCCTTATTCCTGGCCTATCCTTCTAGATCTGCAGAAGTATGTCCTTGAGGCAGGTGGGGGCTGGAGTGAGGAAATCATAAAATGTTAGAAACCCTGGAGTTCCGAAATGCTGGCAGCACAGAATAGTAGAATTTCAACAATAAATGTGGGACTTTCATGATCGGAAAAGCCCCCCTCACATTTGAACTCCACCTGAGCCATTTATAAAATGCATAAAATACAAAATTAATTAATTAATTAAAATGCATAGAATAATGCAACAGCAGCCACCACTGATGGGACTGTGCCAGGGACACTTCTCAACACTCCCCTCTCTTAGCTCCTCGAAGCTTCACCACAATCCCGCTGCTCCCAGGAAACTGCACCTGGAGAGGTCCAGTCGTTGGTGCAGATCCACTTAACTCGTAAGCAGCGGAGCCCCAGGGTTCACACCCAGCAGTCCTAGTTTCTACCCATTATACCAGCAGGAGCTTTTGAAACTTCTGATACCCAGGTCATACTCTATTAAAAAGTAAATCAGAATGTCTGGGGGTGCGAACGAAGCATCGATAGTTCTTAAAGATCTCCAGCTGATTCAATAAGCGGCGAAGTTGGGGAACCACTGCCCGTACTACACTATCTTACCACGTCCCCACTGTAACTCGTTAGATCGGTAGGATATTTACTATTTTAGAGATGCACGAACTGAGGGATACAGACATTGAGTTGTCCATGTATGTGATGGAGGTTGGACTGGAATCTAGGAGCACTCTGTTCCTGAGGGCGACCTACCTGGAAGCAGGTGCCTCTGCCCCTCCCCCACCTGCTGCGTAGCAAGGGCTGGCACACCTGGGCTAAAAGGCCCAGCCTTGTCCCCGCTTCTCCTGCCGCTCCCTTCAACGTCCAAGCCCTGACACAGGTATGACAAGAAGGCCAGGTGCAAACTCCCTCTCCAACCTCCCCTTGATGCACCCACCTGTCTACACCTGTTGCAGGATGCTGCTGTTGCGACTGCTGCTGCTGCCAAAAACGGCCGCTACTTGATGCTGCTGCCACCCAACCCGCTACGCCTGCGCTTTGTGAGCCCCAGAGCGCCTGGGGCATTTCACTCCCTGGACTGGGCCGGAGACTTGCAGCTCCTGGGCCCCGCCCTCCTGCCCCGCCTCACCCCTTGGGAGGGGGCGGGGGCGGGGCGGGGAGAGATGCGCTGTCACAAGGCCCCCTGGGACTTGTAGTCTGCAGCTCTAGAACCTGATAGAACGCAAACCGCCGGTGGGTGGTAGACATGTCCTGACCCTGACCCGGAGCACAGGTGAGAGGCCACACCTGCAATTTTACTTTGCTGTTAAGACGTATGTTCACTAATTTATCATGAAATACTTTTTTTCTAAGAATTTTGAATTAATTTTCTAGAAGAAAGTAAAGTTGCAAGGAGAAGCCGGACTCCTGGTTTGACCACTTTTTCTGAATTCTCAGTTTGTACCTGGCCTACTCTGGGCGACAGTGGAGGGCACAAAGAAGCCTCCCACAAGGCCTCCCTCTCCTCCCCCAGCTTCCAGTCTGGTTGGGGAGACAGCGTGAACACACGATTGGGGCATAGGGTGTGATTTTACAACCGGAAAGAAGAGTCTAACTTTGCCCAAGAGGTTCAGGAAGGCTTCCCAGGGGAGGCCAAAAAAAGGTCTTGAAGGATACATAAGAAAGGTAAGAGATTTGTACGCACACTGATAGGGAACTTCAAAAGGATGTCCAGAATTTCAGTGTGTTCGGAAAGCAGGGTGCAGGGGTGGGGAGGGCCTCGGAGGGCAGCCGCAGGGCTGCGAGGATGTAACACGAAGGCATTGGATGATGGGCCCAAGAGCTCGGATGTTGTGACCTAGTGAATGCTGCGTGGGGTTGGAGTTTCCAGATGAGGAGGCAGGTGGTCGGATTTGTGGGTTGGAAGGGCGCCCCTCTGAAGGGACAGTAACTAGAGAAAGAAGGCTGTTTCTCTATTTACCACCTCAGTCTGCCCTCCCAGGGTCATTTTCTCGAGTAGCTCAGCCACAAACCCTCACCTACAAGCAAAACCAGGATGTCATTCAGAGAACAGGGCCTGTCACCGCCTGAAAGGCTCCTGGTCCAACCCCCTGCTTGAAAAGGGCACCCTCCCGCCCCAAGGACCTTCCTCCTACCCCGGAGAGCACCTCCTTACCGGGGCTGCAGGGCTCATGGTTCCTGGGCCTCCGGGGCTGCATTTCCCAGGAGCCTCCCGCAGGTGGGCACGTCTCTGAGCGCCTTAAAGATAAGGGGATCAGGAAGGTGCTACCAAGTAGGAGCCACAGGGGGAGGCGAGAAAGGGGGGCAGAGACTGTCATGTCTCCTCAGTCCCTTTCCCCACCTCCCCGACTGACCTCGGCTTCAGAGTCAGTTCGCTGCATATCAGAGAAGTCATCCGTGATTTCGAGGTGGCCTTGGTCTAGCATCGCTAAAATTCCCAAGGCGGAGAGCTGGGGTTGAGGGGCGCGACCGGTCCTCCCCCCTCAGTGGGGGGAGGGTGGGAGTAGGGGGCGGGCAGGGCTAAGTTTTCTTTCTCCAGCGGGCCAGGACAGTGCCATCACTCCAGTCCTGGTTGCCGCCTGGCCCTTTAAGCTGCCTTCTCTCGCGCCGGGGTGTCTGTAATCCTGACCTCGAGCTACCCTGGCGCTTCGGCCCTTCGTGCAGTGCGTGCCCTACTGGAGGATTCGCCTCGGCTGATCCTATTAGCCACCGAGTTCACTCGCTCTGTGCAGCCCCGGTTACCAGCTCTCCCAAACCATGCTGTTCTCCACCCTTGTGCCTTTCTGTCCCTGGACCGTCCGACATTCTCCAAGCTAAAATTTCTGCCCCTACCGCAGAAGGATAGACGGACGAGAGAAAGGAAAGGAGAGAGGGAGGGAGAGAAGGGTGGAGCTGGCCTCAGGGAATCTGGGTGCAGACCCCACCCCAGCTCTCCCACCTCCCCTCCAAGGAGGGCTGTTTGGCTTCTTCATAGAGGGGTGGGGGGGGGGGGGGGGGGGGGGGGGGGCGCCGCGCACATGGCTCTAGTTTACATTTTCTGGATTTAGCAACCAGATGAAAAGTGAAGATTCTCCAACAGCTGTGTGGGATTCAAGGGGAAGACCCCTGCATCATTCTCCCAAAGAGGGGGCGCGATGACAAGAGCAAGGGGCAAAAGGATGCTTTGCATACCAAAACTACAAATGCTGCTATAGAATCTAAATGCAGCCCGACCTGGCACCTGGCTCTAAAATATTGGTCAGTGACCCTCTTTGAGTTGCAAATAAAGCGTGTAGACTCTGCTGGGGGGTGGGGTGGGTGATGCACACAGTCACATTTTGCAAATAATTTCTGGGAGTTCATAGACTCCCAAAGCCTGATGATTACTGTTGAAATTGCTTTTAATTTCCAAAGCTGTATAGCCTGGTGGAAGAAGTGTGATTGACAAGTGGGGTTGCTGAGGGCGTAGCAGGAATCCCAGCTCCCACAGTCCTGCCTTTGAGAGACGTCTGTTTAAACCAGCTAAAATTTGCCGAGACCAACAAGCCAACAGTAACTTTCATGTTTCTCTTGTAACTGTGGCAAATAGAACTTTTCAAAAATTGTTGACACTAGCCCTGGCTGGTGTAGCTCAGTGGACTGAGTGCGGGCTGCAAACCAAAGGGTCTCAGGTTCGATTCCCAGTCAGGGCACATGCCTAGGTTGCAGGCCAGGTCCCCAGTGGGGGCCACGCAAGAGGCAACCACACATTGATGTTTCTCTCTCTCTCTTTCTCCCTCCCTTCCCCTCTCTAAAAATAAGTAAATAAAAATCTTTTTAAAAAATTGTTGACACTATTACAGATGTCCCCATCCCCCCCACTTTGCCCTCTTCCACCCAGCCACTTCGCCACATTGCTGTCTGTGTCCCTGGGCTATGCAGACATGCAGATATGTCCGTTGGCTGATCTCTCCCAGTCTCTCCCTGAGAGAGATGCCCTCCCCTCCCCTCTGAGATCTGTCAGTCTGCTCCATGTATCTATGCCTCTGTTTTTATTTTGTTTGTCAGTTTATTTTGTTCATTAGATTCTACATATGAATGAGACCATATGGTATCTGTCTTTCTCTGACTGGCTTATTTCACTTAGCGTAATAATTTCTAGGTCCATTGATGCTGTCACAAAGGGTAAGAGTTCCTTCCTTTTTTATAGCTGCATAGTATTCTATTGTGTAAATGTACCACAGCTTTTTTTATCCACTCACCTGCATATGGGCATTTGGGCTGTTTCCAGATCTTGGCGATTGTAAATGATGCTGCTATGAACAGAGGGGTTCATATATTCTTTCCAATTGGAGTTTCAGGATTCTTAGGATATATCGCCAGAAGTGGGATTGCTGGGTCAAATGGCCATTCCATTTTCAGTGTCTTGTTTTGTTTACACAGAGAGGGGGAAGGGAGGGAGAAAGAAAGGGAGAGAAACATCGTACATGCAGTGATGGGGGACAGAACCTACGAGCCAGGCATGTGCCCTAACCCAGAATCAAACCAGCCACCATTCCATTTGCAGGACAACACCCGATACAACTAGGGCTCCACTGTCAGATTTTTGCGGAAACTGCATCCTGTTTTCCACAGTGGCTGCATCAGTCTGCACTCCCACCAGAGGTACACCAGGGCTCCCTTTTCTCCATAAGCTCGCCAGCACTTGTTGTCTGTTGATTAATGATGGCCATTCTGACAGGTGTGAGGTGATAACTCATTGTGGTTGTAACTTGCATTTCTCTGCTGATGACATTGAGCACTTTTTCATATGTCTATTGGCCATCTGTATGTCCTCTCTGGAGAAGTGCCTATTCGGGTCCTTTACCCACTTTTTAATTGTGTTGTTTGTCTTCCTATTATTTAGCTGTATCTATTTTTTCTATATTTTGGAAATTAACGCCTTATCAGATGTATCATTGGCAAATACGTTCTCCCATATGGTGGGTTCCCTTTTCATTTTGCTGATGATTTCTCTTGCCGTGCAGAAGTGTTTAGTTTGAGGTAGTCCCGTTTGTTATTTTTTCCTCTGTTTCCTTGCCCCAGGAGACACATCAGGAAAAAAATATTGCTATGAGCAATATCCAAGATTTTTGTTGCCTATGTTTTTGTCTAGGATTTTTATGGTTTGGGGAACTTACATTTAAGTCTTTTATATATTTTGAATTTATTCTTGTGTATGGTGTAAATTGAAGATCTATTTTATTTTATTTTTTGCATGTACTGGTCCAGTTTCCCCAACACCACTCACTGAAGAGAATATTTTTGGACGGACATGTGTTTTCATTTCCCTTGGTTGTGATATTTCTGGGCCATATGGTAACTGTATGTTTAACATTCTGGGGGACTGTCAAGCTATTTTCCGAAGAGGCTGTATCATTTTACATTCCCACTAGCAAACTCTGAGTGTTCCAATTTCCCCACAATCCTCATAATTATCTGTCTGTTTGGGGATGGCCCCCCACAGCGAAAGTCACCTCACTGTGGTTTTGAATTTTAAGTTCCCTAATGACCGATGATGTTGAGCATCTTCTCATGTGCTTGTTGGCCATTGGCACATCCTCCTTGGAGAAATGTCTACTCTAATCTTTTGTCTATTTTTTAGTTAGATTATTTTTTAATGTTGAGCTGCAAAAAGAGTCTTAAACTGAAAATGTAGACAACTCAAAAATAATTTTGTAGAAGAAAATAAGTGAAATGGTATGTGGTCCCTTCAGTGTTCCGGAGTGTGAGTGGAGGGCAAGTGGGGGCTGCGCAGCGAGCCCAGAAGGCGGCACAGGCGGTTCCTGGATGGGCGTGTCCAGAAAACCCCGCCCACCGGGGTGGGGGGTGATGAGGAGGGCTGCAGTCTCTTGGTGGAAAGCCGTGTGGGAGGGGTGTATCCAGGCTTCCTGGGTCAGAAGAAGTTAGTTTTATGTGCCGGCCTGGCCGGGGCTATGGTACCTAGTTATTTACTCAAACGGTAATGTGAGTGTTGCTGTGGAGGTATTTTGTAGATGTGGTTACCTCTACAGTCAGTTGACTTTAAGTGAAAAAGATTATCCTTGATAATCATTTTATTAGCTGAAGGGCCTTAAGAGCAAAACAGAGATCTCCCTGAAAAGACGCTAGAGCAGGGGTGTCAGACACCAGCCCCGCAGTCACCTTCAAAGGGCGGAATGTACTTCTAACTCCTTAACAGTTAAGAGGTAGTTACATTTATACAGTCCTAAAATTATCTGGGCCCTTTGAAGGCGACTGCGAGGCTGGTGTGGCCCCCGGTGGAAATGAGTTTGACACCCCTGCGCTACAGACGGTGTGGGGCCTGGAGTCTCAGTCCCTGCTTGAGGACTGTTGGCCTGCTGGCGGGCGGGGCTCACAGATGTGAGACTAGCCAGTGCCCCCACAACTGCAAAGCCAGTTCCTCAGATAACCATCTCTCTGTGTACATTTGCTCTGTCTCCCTGGAGAGCACTGACTAACACAAGCCGGAAGAAGACGTCTTACCATGCCTCTCCCATTGAATCTGTCGGAAGCGCCAGATTTGGAAATGGAGGAGGAGAATCTGGCAGCCAACGGAAGGGTGGGAGGTGAGGGGCACTGGGACAGGGGAACCGGCATCCGGCATCCGTGCTCAGAGATGGGGGACGGGGGAAGGGGGTGCAAATAGTCCCTGAAAAAATCCTCCAACTGGACCATCAGATGCATAAAGATCCATTTCTAGAAGGTCAAGTCTAATTACAGTTTCCATTGTTCTTTATGTCAGCAATCTCCTGTCTTGAGACCAGGAGGTGTCTTTCAGCCTCCTGTGCTCTTGTTCAGTGACCATGACCTTTTAATTCAAGAGAAATAATTTGGTTTTGAGAAGATGCTTTTTAACTCTGCTTGTAACTGTGCTTTTCAGCTTTCCCTCAAGGTCTTTGAGTTGCTCCCTGAAGGTCTTCAACTCTTCATTCACGTGCTCATCATCTTCTGAATTTGCCTCCTCTTACTCCAGGGAATAGTGGACAGATAACTTCTTGAGACTCCGTTTCTTTCTCTTGACAAAGTTTAGTCACTTCATGTCCTCTCCCCTGAAGAGTTTGATCTGCACTTTTTCAGTCAAGGTTTGCCCAGCTTGAAGACTTCATATAATCTGTCATGTGGGCTTTTCTGTTTTCTTTCTTTAAAAAAATATTTATATATTTTTTTATATTTTAAAGATTTTATTTATTTACTTTTAGGAAAGAGGGGGAGAAAGAGAGGGAAAGAAACAGCAATGTGTGAGAGATCACACCCATTGGTTGCCTCTCACTGGCCCGCAACCCAGGCCTGTCCCTGACTGGGAATCGAACCAGCAACCTTTTAGCTCAGTTCGCAGGCTGGTGCTCCATCCACCGAGCCACACCTGCCAGGGCTTCTGTTTTCTTTTTTAGCAATGTTGATGTAGTATTGCTTTTTCTCTCCATCCTGGATGTTGAACTGTACACTAGACTTTCAACATCAGTTAGTTCTCTCCTGGCTCCTCTGGATTGGTCATACACACTGTTTCCACCTGCTGATTCCAAGTTCTACCCATGTTTTCTTCTCCATGGGAAGCTTTTGCCTCTAGC